TTTAGTTTAGCCATCTGATATCTCATTATGACTTTTAGTTGCATTTTCTTTCCTAATGACTAATGATAATGGGCACATTGTCATGTGTTTACCTATTTGAGTATCTTCTTTTTTGCCTCTTTATGACTTTTTCCCATTTTATAAATTGTGTTGTCTTCTTTTTCTTATTGGTTTGCAGAAATTATTTTATATATTCTGAACATGAGTCTTCTGTCAGGCTATCCTTATACTTTGCTAAAGATGTGTGTGTGTGTGTGTGTGTGTGTGTGTATGATACTGGGGATTGAAAACAATGCCTTGATCATGCTAAGCAAATTCTCAACCACTGAACTATGTCCCCAGCCCTCTTAAAGGTATAGTTTTGATGAGTCAAGTCTCTTTTATAAAGTCTAATTCATTGGTCTTTTCCTTTACAGTTAGTACTTTCTAATATTCTGCTAAAGTTGAAGTTTTCATTTTCCACTGAAATCATCTGTACATACTTTTTTTTTTTTTGGTACCAGAGATCTAACTCAGGACCTTGCTCTTGCAAACCAGGCAGGAAAATCACTGAACCCCTGGCCCTGTACATACTTTTAAATAACATTTAATTTACCAACCTAATACAAATCATTTGATATCACAGTATTTCTCTAAGAACACATTTTAAATGGCTGTATAGTATTCTATTGCATGGGTATTTCATTCATTATGAACTAACTAACTAACATGATTGCATACTCAGGTTATTTTAGAACATTTTTTAAATAAAATTACAAAACTAAAGAGTGCGTTACAAGCTAGATACCTAAGATATTTAAATCCAACCTCAGCTATTTCCAGTCTTCCTTATCCAGTAATTATACATTGAGCTCTTAATGTTTCTTCAACATTGTGCTAAATATTCTGGAGGATACAAAATACATGAGGTGACATGTATCCTTAAGGAGCTGACAGCATATTTGGCAGCCCCAAGCTTTACTTGCTTAGTAATTAAGGAACTGAGAATTCAAATATCTTTTCATAATCATGGAATAGGAAGAAAGTCAGAGGAAGTAAGAGGAAGGTGTACTAGAATTGTTGACTTCAAGAAGAAGGTGGGTCTTAAAGGCCCTTTACATGTCTGGGTGAACATTCCTCAGTGGGAGGACTGCATAAGCCAAAGGTGTGAAATCAAGGAGAAGGAGGTTTGTGTCGGCAGGGTGGAGAGGAGTTGCTCTAGACTGAAAGCAAAACTGAATGTTGATGAGTCCAGGGAAATAAAGATAAGTAAGTAAGGTGAAGCCATGTTAACAGGGCGATCTGAGGAATCTGGATCCAGGACAACAGCTCCAGGACAACTGAGGGTAGGGAGGTGAGACCTGGTCCATAGATTGCTTTTTATTAAGAGTCTTCCAGTTAGTATTGAGGATTGAGGGACTGGAATCAGAATGACAAATTAAAATTTAAAGGAACAAACCAAGAAGTAGATGATGTTATCTTTCAATAAAGATTTACAGCTAATGCAGTTTTTTTAATGAAACAAAAACTCAGATATTTGCCTTCGTAATATTTTGTTCGGTTCTAAGTAATATCCTAAGTTATTTTTAAAATGGTATTTCAAAAAATAAAGTGCCTTGCCAATACTAACTACTAATAACAACTTATAAGTGCTCTCTCTAAAATACTTTCTATCCACAGGAATAGTTATGACTATCATTGTATGGGGGGGAACAATAGGATTTATTGAACAGTGCTTCTATTCCTTATTTCCCTGGAGAAGCATTAGAATCTATGGATTTGGGCTCAAATTATAGCTGGGCCTTGTTAGAGAAGTCCCTTAACCGCTCTAATCCTCACTTTCTTCCTCTATACTATGAGGACAATAATAATTAGAAAAAATGGTCATTACATAATAAAGGTTAACTATTACTAACTTGGTCTATGTGGTGGCTGTCTTTTTATAGATCCACTGACAAAAATTGCTACATAGAGCTAATTTACATCAGGAAGAAGTTAGCATTTAGTATAGTGTAAAGGAGTAAAAGGTGTAATAGGCATGAACAGTGGAAATTTAATCAGAAAGTATTAAGGGCATCCTTGCCTCCGCATCTATTCTATGTTTAGTATCATTAACAGCAATAAAACACTGAAATTTTATGAAGCTTAATACTTGGAAACAAAGCCAAATAACATGTATATATTTATTTAATGGTGGGAGATCCGGCAACCTTTGGCGACAGGCATGGTGTTCCACTTGGTGGGGTGAAATGAGCGCCTCCTGCTAGCTTCTGTGGAGGGACTGTTATTCATCACAGCTGCAATGTTCCCTTCAGAGTGCTCCCACTGGAATGAAAAAGGCACACTGGCAATTTATGTACAAAAGCCAACCCACATTTGGCTTTGAAAATTCACTGGGAAAACTATATGCAGCCTGTTAGTTATTCATGGACATGCTCTGATTTCTGATGGAAGCACTGTGGTTTCATTTTGTTATCATCACAGCAAAATTAGAAAGCAGCAAAGGAAAAATTAAAGGACTGGCATGTAGACATCTTCCAGCCAGCAAATTGTTACGTGTGTACATTTTCATGGCTCATTCGCCATGTAAAAATACTCATAATTCACACAGCCCTGTGTTCGAAGGACTCAAGCTGGCCTTTCCCCTACTGTCCATCCCTATTCCACCTTCCCTTGATGAAATTACATAGCCATATTCTTCCCTCAGCAAGCCCTGAAGAGTTACAATGGGTCTGAGGTACACCCGCACCGTGCCACCAAAGCAGTGTTATTTATGAAAAATGTATTGGAATATTTCTTAGCATCCAATGAAATGATATGATCAAAAATATAAATGTGCAAATTGTTTTACAATGTAATTTTGATTTTAAAATGATATCTCCAGTTAACTTTGCAGGCATGATGGTTTCCCACCCTTATTTGGACAGGAGCCTAACTCTATGTATCAAGATTTCTCCATTAATAATGTATAGTTTGCATCTGCAGAGAGATGGTGCTATTCCAAAAGCACATTTATGCACACCATCATGTCTGATCATTACAAGAAATGTAAGAGGAAAATAAAGCAAGTACCATAATGCCTTATTTTATAAAGAGGGACATCAAAGCCCAAGAAGTTTACTGATTTGCCCCAAATCTCATAACTATTAGAGGCAGATGTCGGGCTCAAATCCATTGATCAGTAACTGGTACTGTCTGACATTTTATGTCACTTTCCCTGTTTTTTTTGCAGGGGAACTAGGACGTCCTCTTCTACCATAACAAAGTTAAATCTGAATTTATTCATTTAAATGACAAAAATAAAAATAAGTAGTTTCATTTATCGTCAGCCTACGACGCAAACAAGATACTAGATTGCTTAAATATGAAATTTATTATATCCTGCCACATGAGAAGGCTCCAAAGAGAGTGTTGGAAAGCACGTAAATTGTAGAAAACAATTAAACCAATTGTGGGGCTTTTTTCCAGAGAGCAGGGCAGAGCAGGCAATGAGAAGAAAATGGATCTTAGTGTTATTAAGGAGTCTAAAAATGAAGCTCAGATATGAATTTTTCACTGACTAGGAGTAAACTATGTCACCTTGTGCCTCTTGTTCCTACAGGTTGGGTTCCTCTAACTGTTTTGAGTGGTCAGGGTCTTGCCAGCTTGTTAGAGCAGCACTGGAGAAAGGCACAAAAGTTTGTTGGCGGGTGTAATCATTTTGAGTGTAGATAATAAATGCTAATTGATGACAAACTGAATGTAGTGCTATAAATAATTAGGAACACATGTTAAGCTATAGTTATTATACATAATTATTACATCTTATAGCTAATAGGTAAAAATTCAACAAAGACAAATCTTACGGTATTCTCTTTTTAAAGGACTTTAGCATACATAAGGTACCATGGTATCACAAACTCAGCCCAGTGGAGTGACATATGCCCATAATACCAGCTACCAGCAGGACTGAGGAGGGAAGATCCAGAGTTTGAGGCTGGCCTACGCAACTTAGCAAGATGCTGTCTTAAAAACTAAAAAGTTCAAAGTTGAACTTTCAGTCTACTCTCAGGAAGGTAGGAAGAACTTTGTAATATTATTTTAATTACTAATCTAGTCCCCATTGCATCTTAGTTTTCAATGCCTGTTTCCTCCCAATACTATTTCCTCTTTCAAAATGTATATAAAAGATATCTTTTCAATATGACCACAGATTCTTTTGCAGTTAGGTAAAGTATAATTAAATGCATACAAAAATGAGATATTACTTGGAAATCAGGTAAAAATTAGTTTACCTCCAACTCCAGAACCTCCAATAATCCCTACAATTTCTACACTTTTGCAGGCCATGTTAACTCAAACCCATGTATCATTTTACTTATTTTTTCCACAAGTACTTAGTGGCCACCTACTAAATCCCAGGCATTATTATATGCAAAGCAACACAATGAGAAAACCACAGGCAAGTTCCTGTTCTAGTGGGACTTACATTCTAGTGCGTGGGAGGTAGGCAAATAAATAAAAGTGAAAAAAGAATCAAATGCAGGAAAAGACATTTTCAGATAAGAAGTTTGATGCAAAAGGTGAAACAAGGTCACATGAGATCCTCAGATATAGTGAGTGCCCTGGGAATCAGGAGAGTTCTCCCTGAAAGGCTGACCAGCTTCTGGTCTGCTGTCTGGGGGAGGGGAGGTGTCCCATGCAAAAGAGACACCCACGGCCAGGGCTTCGAGGCCTGAGTGAGTTGGGCACCTTCATGAAGACAAAGGGAGATGTCAGTGGTTGAAGCTGGTTGCTCTCAGCAGGGCTGGTGCTGAGGGATTGGTGGCCTGTAGGAATCAGATCACTCGGGGCTTTGTAAAGCAGGAGGAGGTAGGAACCTTTCCTAACTGGAAGTCTGAAAGCATCTGATTTCTGATTTTAAATAACCACTGTCTCTGTTTTGTGGAGAGAAGACTGTAGAAAAGGCAGAACTGGAACCAGAGGACCTGTCAGGAGGCTCTGGTGGCTGTGCAGAGAACAAAGTGGCTCCTGGAACCACAAGACGATAGAAACATGGCTAGAAGTAGATCCAGGTGAGCTCCGTTTACAGATCCTGAGAGGCAAATCTTCATGCTCTATCCTTCACCTACGCCCCTTGCTGACTTCTGTAAGGCATTCAATTGTGCCAAGATTGCAATCTTTGGAATTTTACTCAAGATTAGTAAAGTATGGGAGGGGCTCATTCTGCGAAACGTGGGTTTCTTTAGTGCAGCCTCCATTGTCTCACTGTGCCCCTATTAAGGATCTGTGGTGCCTACCTTTGACCCTCCCCTCTACAGATCCTCATCCACGTGTTAGCCTGTCTCCACTGCCAGGTTAAGGTCTTTGCCAGCATTTAAAATCACATGGAAATATACTCACATTCCACATTATGTATTATTTATATGCATTGACTTGTGACTGACTAGATGATATGCTCTTATGGTTTGTAGGCATTTAATTAGACATTTAATTTTATTTTATGCTTTATCTTTCTGTTGTTGAAATCCATTTGTTTTCAGGCCTCATACATTTTGCAGGCATTGTGAATTCCCATGCCAGTCTGTGAAGCCTGACTCAAACAGCCGTGACCAGGCCTCCCTGTGTGGCCCAGCCTCGCTGGCATTCTGCTGAATAAAATCATCTCCACGTCGCTGCACACAGGATGAACTGCAGTGTCAGCAGGTCTCCATGACACCGCCTGACTGAAACCCGCATCTCTCCCACACGCCCCTCCTCACCGGCCCTGACAGCGCAGACAGGGCTTGCTGTGTTCCTGACTTCCTCTCATTTTCAGGTCCTCTGCACTCACTCCCACACTCCCCCTCTGCACCCCAGATGGAGGCTGAAAGGCTCACCCCAGAGGCCGAGAGAGCAGGAATTCCAGGCCCTGGGTTTTCCATGACTGACTCGGGGCAAAGGCATGGCCTTTACTCAGAAACCCGCAGCCAGAGTCTGGAACCAGGTATGAGACATGGGCCAGGCCAGAAAGAGAGCAGGGTGAGGAAGGAACCCTGGGGCGGCACTGGAAGCAAACCTGGGAACAGGGGGAAGAACTAAGGGGCTCTGGAGCACAGCTGAAGGGCAAAGCAGGAAACAGATGGGAAGATTCCAGAAAGGCAGCCATATCCACCTCTGCCCCAGCAGTGTTGCAGTTTTATGTTTCAACACACATGAGCACGGGGCCCTTGCTTTCTGACATAGTCCCCATCCTTGTCCTCCCACTGTCCTCTGTCTGACTAGAACTTAGGGATCACATGGGGCCTTGCACACAGGGAGACATCTGAAAGTGAGAAACAGATTGGGGAGTTCTGCGTGATGACTCTGGAGCCAGACTGCTCCTGATCAAATCCCAGCCTTGCAATTTAGTTGCCTGTGGCCTTGTGCACATTTCTCCCTAGACCCTACCTTGGTTTATTCAGCTGTCAAATGGGATAGAAGTAGTTTCCGTTTTCATTGAATTGTTCTAGAGTTTCCCGTGAAGCCTTGAGCATATACAATAAGCCCACCACAAATGCTTAGCTATTCTGTTTTAATTGTCAGAAGAGAATTAAAAATCTGTGGTAGTTTTTAATGTTTACATTTAACAAATTATAAGTTTTAATTAAAACATATGCAATGGCATGTAGCTGCAAGATTCATAGGTAATTACAGAAGTTAGGTTTTTCTTTTTTTTCTTTTCTTTTTTAATGAATTCATATGACCTTAGAAGTGGGATGGTCCTATCATGGGGCATGAATTCAGATTCGAATGAGAAACATTTGTGTCTGGATATACATTTGTAAACTTGTTTGGAAGTAATTTTCAAAATATAAATTGGAAGTCCTTTGTGAATATTTGTTTCTAAGCCAAACATTTTTCCTGCTCCCCTCTTGACTCTTACTCCCTCCCACATTCATATCTTAAAATGACAAGTGCAGATAAATGTAGGGAGTTAGGCTCTACTTCCTGCTTGATTTCAAAATTAAGGGCATGAAGCCTTTGCTTCTAGGATTGGATAGTTTGTAGGTTTACGTGTGAGGGGAGGGAGAGAGATTCTGCTCAAGATGCAAATATAGAGGAATAGATAATAAAAAAATAAAATTCGGGTGTCCCATAAAGAACTGGAGGCAGACCAGTCCTTGAGAAGATGAAGACCTGCCCATGCTCACAAAGAGAAGAGGGAGAGCAGGCATAATTCCCCTACCTCACAATTTCATTTTAACTTCCCTGTGACCAGTAGAAGTTGTGGATAAGACGAACAAGAAACGAATGGTTTCCTACCAAATGGCACTTCATGCCAGGAAACTTGACCCTAAATTGCTGCAAACAGTCATACAGCAGCTTCAAGAATGACGCAAAGCGAACACTGCCTCCAGGTTTCCCTAGAAACAGCAATGCCACGCATGAAGGGCTTGGTGGCTGCTACCCAGGGAACATTGCTTGCAGAACTTCATAAACAGGAGCTTTGCCAGCTCTCTGGGAAGCTGAGACAAAATATCTACCTAGAGCATAGACTGGTTGACCTTTCAAAGGTCCTTTTATCCCGAGAGCCTGTGGTTTTGAGGCAGTGTTGAGGATTTTTCAGCTTCCTCTTAGGAAAGCTCAGCGTGTATATGAAGCAAGACCTGCCTCTGCACTACTAATTCCCCCAGGTGTGTTTAAAAGGTTTGGGAAATGAATACATGATGGCTACTCAATAAGTAATAGTAATCCAAACATGAAGAGAAATTTTTAAAATTTCTGCTTTGCAACTCTGAACACTCAAATTTGCTATAAAGGCATAAGGGGGAAGAAGATATTCTATAAAAATTGAAGGCAAGGAACTGTTGTTGTGCACATTTTAGGCGCACAGCACCTTTTCTTTTAGGCGCACAGCACCTTTTCTCAGTAAATGAGTTGTTGAGGAACATGGTCCGTGTCTATTGCGTATTGGCTATAATTTATTTTCTTTATTATTCAAGTTAATAATGTTAATTATTTTAGAAAAATAGTCATTGAATAAGGATAAAAAACTTTAAATTGGCTAATATTTATTAAGTGCACTCTACAAGCTACCACAAAGTTTAGGTACAAAAGATACTTTGTTATTTCTTAACAGCTTTATGAGCTGATTGAGCTCATCTGGGTAGTTCTTCTGCCCTTGATTTTAGCCAAAAAGCCAAGAAACAATGCGGTGGTTTTTTTGCTGTCCTTGAATCACCAAGACGGCTATCTGGCACCTCAGCTGGGACGGCTGAAAAGACTGGGGTTTGGCTGGGCGATTTTCTCTTCTCCGGGTGGTCTCTCCAATAGGACAGTTTAACCTCTTTATGTAGCGGTTCGGGGCCCCAAGAGAATAAACCCTTGACACAAGCACATATTAAGCACTCTGCTTCTGTACCGCTCCCTGGTATCCCAGTGGCCAAAGTAAGTTATCCAGCCACGTTCAGAATCGATAGACAAGAGGATCACAGAAGGCCTAAATACTGGAAGGTGTGGTGTGTTTGGGGCCACCAGTGTAACAGTCAACCACACAAGCCATATGTTACATTCACTTATCTTTTTATAAGCCGAAACCAACCTATGATGAAGATACCACTTCAATCTTCATTAACTTAGGCACAGAGATGTTAAGTTACTTGATGAAAATTACATTGGTAAAAATTGGTAGAGCTGGGATTGAATCCAAACAATCTAACCCCAGAGCTATAAATCTGAGGCCACAAGCATATGAGTAGTAAATTATTAACCTGAAGAAGTAAATAACATCTCAGAAATGTTTAGATATTTAATTTGAGAATTTACATATGCAATAACAGTATGAGAATTTTGCACTTTTTAACAAAGAGATACTGTCTTTAAAAATGCAAATCACAGAGGCAAGGGTACTAGCTGGATGAATTCTTTTGGCCTGGGTTAGATTTTCGCTTCTCCTTATTTGTTGTGACTTATTGTTCTCAATTATAAAATTTGGGGCTGGGGATTTAGCTCAGTGGTTCTGCCGCCTGCCTCACAAGTGCAATGACCCGAGTTTGATACCGGGTACCAAAAAACAAACAAACAAACGTACATAAAATTGGAATGATAGTATCTAATTTGCAGGGATACATAAGAATTAAATGAGAACACAAGAAGCATAAAGTACCTAGAGTGTTCTCAAATGCCTGTGTGGTCTTAGCTATGTGCAAATACCACTGAACATAGCTGGGCATGGAAACAAGCAAGTCTCAAGGGGGTGCGTCATCTCCTCCATGAGCTCAGGGGGTTATTTTAGAGCATTGGGATTAACCGTAGGACAGGCTGTCACACCTGCCCATGGCTGGGAATCAGAGTGGGAGAGTCACTATCTTGCTGCTCTTAACCCTGAGGACAACAGAAAAATAGATACCCATGGTTCCTGGAAGACTCATGACTGGCATTATTGCAGGACTAATGTAATTAACGCTTTCTAACTTAGGCTCTAGCATCTGCAAATTTAACCCAATTGTAAGATTCTTTCAGGGCATTGCCCAAGTTTGGTATGTATGGTTCAGTTTTCCTTTCCTGATTACCTTCTAGTACATAAAACTATGTTGACACTAGTGAAGATGTGGAAAGTGGGAGAAAGGAAAAAGACCGATTTGGTGTGGATAGCTTGCAAACCTTGGTTTCCGTTGTCTGGCTACGTCAGCAGCTGTCTGTGGGTTTTGAGGCAATTTACAGCTGGAAGAAACAGGGCTCTGCATTTCTCTCTTTGGAGACTAAATGATGGCTCATTCCATGATATTATGGCCACAGTTCTATACACGAGTTATGGCAGCTCTAAATTACAGCCGCAATAATATGAGTGACTGCCATCTTTGATCATCGAGGCAATTGAGGAAAAGGGAGGCAGCCACTTACCCAAAAGCAATAAGATGATCCAGGGGATGTGTCTGTGTCAGAAAAGGCAGCTGGCAGCAATGCTGAAATGCTCTCAAATGTTAACATATTATAGAATCTCTTTCCTCCAGATGTAGGAATAGAACAAACGTGAAAGAGGATGAGGGAGGGGATGAGATGAGGGCCAACCTTTTTCTGTTCACTGCACCGTGCCGCTGGCAGTACCTCCACCAGACACTGCTCCGCAGGCGCAAAGATACGCTTTCCAAAACATAGGTGGGGTTTTTTTAAAGACAGCTTCTTCCGTTGTTCATTAAACGCATTTCTCACTAACACGTGCTTGAATAATGTCTGCATTGAATGATGTCTGAATACAACGCATCGAACCCTGTATGGTTTCTATTTTATCAGCTGAGTAAACTCATGTAAGTTTTAATTTCTTTGAAACTCAATTTTGTCATCCCTAGAAAGAATGCAAAGATAGCTATTTCAATCTCCTTGGGGCTGCTAGGTTAACTCATTTGTACCTTCAGCTTCCTCACCCTTCTACATCTCCCAGTTCAGCACCACACACGTCTCCGGGAAGGCTTTCCTTCTCCATCTCTGGATCTCTTCGTGCTCACACATCATCTCTCAGATAGACCATGGCAGAAGCTCCACCAGGGGTCCCCAGCTCAGGTGCCATAGGAATCTTTCAGAATATACACAGACCCTCCTGCCCCCAAAGTGCTTTGCTCAACCATGCTGGCTGTAGGTTAAGGCCCAAATTCTAGGAGAGAGTAAGAGTTACCTCCGATGTAACCCTGAGGTCCTCCCCAGCTCCTCCACACCCACCTCCATGCCCACACACAACTTCTCATTTCACATAGCACACGATGGTGCTTGCTTCTCTCCCCCTCCCCCTCCCCCTCCCTCCCACACATATCCGTTTTTCTTCATGGAGAGCTCTACTTTTTCCTTCGTACCTAGAGCAGTTCCCTGCGGTCTTTAAGACCCAAGTGCAGGAATCATTTCCTCCATGAAGATCCCCTCTTCTGGTCTCAGGGGACATGAGGTCCCCACCCTTTGCATGGCATTCACTGCCTGCAGGAGGCACTTTTGTACATCAGTTGCCCCAGCCTACTCTCTGCTGCCGTGGTCTGTGTGGGCCCAGTCTACCACATGGGTGTGTGGGGAAGGGGGCTCACGATATGTTCACCAAAATGAATGCATAAATGCAAAGCACCCCCTAAAGAATCCCCCTTCCTCTTTAATAACAACTGTACTCCTTCAGATCCATTTCTGGTTTCATGAATTCAAATTCACTTTCAGAAAAATCTCAAACTGAAGGATCTGGTTCAGTTTATAGCCCACATAACAGTGAGGAGCCATTATCTCAAGCCCAGACAATAATAAGGAGACTCAAAATAATAAACCACACAGGGCTTCATTCTTATAACACATTATTAATGATCACATTCCAACTAGTTCATAAAAGTACAAGTATCTAGAGCAAGTTATAAGTATTCAAGCATAGTAATCATTTCTTGGTCTTTTGGCTGAGATTAACTGTAGTGACTATTAAAGCATAGTGAAGATATGATCAGTTTTAGAAAAGAAATGTTTTAAGGCAGAGTGTCAGCAGGTTGTGTGGTTTTTGAGAAGGGGCTAAAGCTGTATTTCAGATGGTAAGTTTGCGAGTCCAAAAGATTCTTTCAAGTGGGTGGTCAATAAGCAGTGGACAAAGTTGAATTTTTGTTTTATTTTTATTTTTTGAAACAGGGTCTCACTATGTAGTTGAGACAGACCTGGAACTCACTATGTAGCCCAGGCTGGTCTCGAACTCACAGCGATCCTCCTGCTTCAGCCTCCCAAGTGCTTGGGATTATAGGTGTACACCACCACACCTGGCTCAAAATTGAACTTTTTAGTTGAAGTTTTGGCATAGAATTTGGAAGAGTTTTGGAAATGTAGGCTTAGTTTTGAACCAATTCGTTACCTTGTACAGATGGTTCATGATTCACAGTGGTCCAATTTAGGATCTTTTGACTTTAAGATTGTGCAAAAATCAATAGGCATTTAGGAGAAACAATACTTCACAATGTCTTGAATTCTGTATCTTGGTCCTTCCTAGGCTAGCCAGATGTGGTACAATGCTCCCTTGTGAAACTGGACAGAGATAAGGAGCCCCAGATCCCCGTCAGCCATGTGATCACACGGTAAACAACCACACAGAACCGTGTACTATGTTGGTAAGCGGTGATGTCCAGCAGGTGAGGTATGCGTTTTCCAGCTAAGATACTTTTGATTTATGGTAGGTTTATGAGATGCAAGACAATCCCAAATGGGGGAGCATCTGTATTCTTTCTTCAGTTTAAGAAGTGATTTCTTCTTTATATTTAAAAATAAAATAGGCCAGGCGTGGTGGCACATGCCTGTAATCCCAGCACTCGGGAGGCTGAGGCAGGAGGATCCCTGTGAATTCGAGACCAGCCTGGGCTACATAGTGAGTTCCAGCTCCGTCTCAACTACATAGTGAAACCCTGTCTCAAAAACCAATAAATAGATAGATAAATAAATGAATCAAGTAAAGGAAAGGCAACCAAGAGTTTCTTCCTTTCATTATCAAATTCTTATAAATTATTATAAAATGCCAAGGAATTTCAGTCCTGGGACCTGAGGGAGGTACTCTGGGGACAGGGAGCGGCTCTGTGAGGCAGCCCTGATGACTTGTGAGACCATGTCCTGCGTCGGACACCTTGCTACCCGTGCCTCTGCAGAGGGGCCTCTGGCCTTTCCATCTCCATGGGTGTTTCCTTCCTTTAAAGATGGGGTCTTGCTAAGTCACTAGGTTGCCCAGGGTGTTCTTGAGCCTTGAATCCTCTTTCCTCAGCCTCCCAGACTGCTGGGATCATAGACATGTGCCACTGCACCCAGCTTCACCCTTCCTATTTTAAGGAAGAAAAGAAATTATTTGAATGGAGGGTTGTGTAGTCTGTGCAGAGAAAGAAACTGGAAGCTGAAGAGCAACTTTGGAAGCCACTGGAGAACAACAGTTCAGTAAAAAGGAACACATGGCTGATTCATGCAAAAATATGTACGCATCTAACACCACCAGGCTGAGTGAGAGAAGCCACACTCAAAAGGTTATGGACTGTGTGACCTCATTTACATGATATCCTGGAAAAGACAAGGCTACCAGGCAGAAATCGGATCGGTGGTTGGAGGGTAAAGGGAAAGGGGGGAAAGTTGAAATAAAAAAAGCATAAGGGAATTTGAGGGAAGGCAGAGCTGTTTTACATCTTGACTGTGGTGTTGTTATGAGACTGTCCAAACTCACTGAACTGTACAACTAAAATGGGTGAAGTTTACTGTATGTAAAACTATTATTTCATACACCACACACACACACACGCACACACACATGCACACACACACGCACACACACACACGCATGCACACTCACACTCCTGACACAATTCTGCTCATGCAGGTTGGGTCAGGGCCCGCAGAAGTATCTCAGAAATGATCATGTGGCTTTTGCCTGTGCTGCTCATTGAGATTCTGTGGTAAGTTTTGTTTGGAAAAAGAGTTCTGTTACAAACATTTGGAAACCGCAGGATAAGACAAATGCCAGGGAGGAACAGCTGAGCTTCGCTAGGAGGGCAACGCCTCTCTTTGTGGTAGTTGGTGTGTTTTGTTCTTTTTCAGATGTGTCTTACTAAGAGACAGAAAGCATAAGAGGAAAACAAACAAACAAAAAAAGACTATGCATATTGACTTTCCCTGAGTAATACCCGAATGGTTTTCTTCCCTTTGAATTTCATCTTAATAAGAACCCTAGGTTCTCTAAATGGAGGACCATGGGATTGAAAGCCACATATTCATCAGTCTGCAAGGGCTACACGATGGCCCTCAGTGATAACAGGCACGAGTCAGGCTTTGGCTAACCCCAAACAGGGACCTTTTGGGCTTTATTGGCCCCTGAACAGCAAGGGCAGGATAGCCTTAAAAGGACTTTGGAAAGTTTTGCCAGCCTGGGAGGCTGGATGAATAAATCGTCGCTGAAGCTGCAGTTTGGCTCAGGGAAGCAGACACTCTCCTCAATTCAGGGTTGTGAAACACTTCCTCTGAATGCCCTCCAGAGGGGCCAGCCTTACTCTTTATCACCATCCGCAAGGCTTGCTAGTGCCTTCCACTTGAACTTCTCAGGCTCCAGATTGAGCCCAGGAGGTGTTCAAGTTTGTGAACACTGTTTAGGTTTGCTAGCAAATACTGGGATGAAGAGCATTCATTAGAAAACAGGAAATTCTTTCTTTTCAGCTTCTCCATGGACTCTTACCCTATATGGCTTTGTACATCCCTACTCTGAACGCCCACTTCCACCCTCCTAAACCTTGCTGATAGGCCACTGGAGGTCAGCATCAGATGCCACATCCTATCTGGTGGCCCCTTTTTCGTGGCTCTGTCTTCTCCCAGATGCCAGCGAACCCCACCCCAGGCATAAAATGATGATAACTCTCTATTGCTGGCTCCTGGAAGCTTCCCCATCCTTCACTGGTTTTCTAATCCTACCCATGCCTTTGTAAATAGTCCTTTTGTTACATTTTCTACATTGAACTTTTGTTGTTTAACCTGATTTCTATTAGGATAGTGAACACTACAACCCTTTCACTCAAATTCTGCATTGACTTCTCAACATCCATAAGATAAAATCCAAAACTCCCTTATACCCTTGCTCCCTGACTTGGTCTCCTACTACTCTGCTCTCATCCACTAGGTTTTTCTGTGTTCCAGCATTTTTCCATTTGGGGCCGTTCGCATCTGCTCCTCCACCTGTCTGTTCCTCCTCCAATGTTACCTTAGCTGTGCTTTCTCATTCTGTTGTCTAAGATTAAATGTCACCTCTTCATTAGGGCTTTGCCTGGCCACCTTAAGAAGCTCTCCTTCCCTAACCACGCTCCATCCCATTACACTTTTTACTTTTTGAGGGTTTTTTTTTCCCCCGATCCTAAGATTTATATTCATGTCAGTAGCTGCTGTCTCTCTCTTCTCTACGCTAACATAAGCTCTGAGGAACCAGGACTTTGTGTGATTTCCTATTAGTATTAGTAAATATTAGTATTTAGTACTGTATTAGTAAAGATTACAAGGAAGAAATGATGGCACCCCCCAAAATGAGTTAAATTAAAAGCTTTTCAAAGCAAATATTTGAAAAATGAAGGCAACAAAGGATAACATAATGCCCAGAAGTAGGAACATCACAGAAAGCACTGTTTGCCAGAACTCTAAATGGACTGCTGGTCCGGGGATGTGAACTTTAGCTGCAAAACCACAGCAACCTAGCAATGAGGTAAGTTCACGGATCACTGTCCTTCCCAACTTTCTGGTCTCCTGCTGGGGCTTACTAGTGGGAAGTCACAGGGCAGAAAGAAAAACTGCTTCAGTCCTTCCAGATTTGTGTCTTGAGATCTGGGACATGGAGCAAGGTAGAGAAGAGAAAATAGTAAGGAGCATAGCTGTCTTCACTAGGGTCAAGACAAAGCTCAACAAGGTCCACTACACTTTGCAATTGCAGGAAGAGCCATTCACCCAGATTTGTGCAATATGGTGGACCTGCTTGGCATTAGAATCTCAGAGCAGGAGGCATGGAATAAATCCATGAATTCTCATGAGTTTGGCTCCAGTTTCTGGGGACTGTTTGGGAAAAAACATTCACTTCCTCACTAATGCAGTGTAATCAGAATAGATGAAGATTTGTTTCCTGGGTAGGGTTTCCAAGATCTCAGCCATGGGTCTGTAAGACAGAGGAAGAGAATTCCTGTGGCTGGCAGGCTTATAAATGTTCTGTGCCACGGACATTTCTGAAGTTGAAGAACAATATCTATTTATGTGCAGCATGGAAACGGGAGCTTGTTTTGCATTATGTTTGGAGACAGAGAGAAATCAGGTAGCAAGCTGGCAACACTTCTGATTTTTTTAATAGAGTGCAGAGCTATCCGCACCATGTGGAGATAGTAACGAAATCATCCATCTACAGGTTTAGTAGCTGAAGGGGGAAGAGGACCTAAATAATTACATTCTGCTGCTATCAACTTTCAGCAAGGTATAAAATTACTATGATGACACGTATGGAGTCAATATAGCTCCGTGGATTACTAATCAGAAATTCCCTTTAAACATCTACTAGGTAAGGGAAGTGGTGAGAATTCACAGCCACATAAAGACAAAAGATATAAATGCATGATGAAGAACCGGTTACCAGGGGACATGTTACATTACTAAAGGTGGAGTGGAAGCCACTTGTCAAAATGATTGGAACATTAAACTAGAGAATTATATGATGTGCTGAAAATTGCTGCTACAATAATTTCCCGTACTTCTTCACTGAGCACAGATTGGAGGAAGAGTGACCTGGGATGGCGGTGAAAATGCAGAACCAGAGCAGACAAGACAGACTGCTGGGACGCTCAACTCAGTCGTCCTGTTGATGCCTGATGACATTCTGTAAACACAGCAGAGTTATAAACAGCTGTGAGCTCTGAGCTACTGTGTGTACTTGGCAAATTTAATTTCCCAACACACCTTTCTATTTGATCCATCCTATCCATTTGGATGAAATAATGTCATCGCTTTCAGTCACTTTGCATTCCCTTTGTTACCAAAGGAATATGAGCTCCCAACATGTGTTAATTTCTGGTAGAAATTCTGGCTCTTCATAGAGAAAGCTGTTAAATGCTTATTGACTGATTACACACTGATCCAACCAAAAAAAGAAGAACGCGAGCAAGTACATGTCCTCGGAGGGCTTCTAAACTTCAAACCTGTAATGCAGAAACTTGTTCCTTCTTGTCATAAACCATCCTGAGGCACCAGTTGATAATAGAGTAAGAAATTAAGCTTTTTTATGAAATTTTCATTTGGTAGGAGAATCATTGTTTATTCAACATTTGTGAAGCCTTTACTAAGGGCTGAGCTCTGTTTTAGATATGAAAGAATCAAAACTGGACAAGACTTAGCCTCGGTGATATGCAGACCGACAGAGTGGGTAGGAAGTGGCAGAGAAACAAATATTATGCTAGTGAAAATCATGGGGTGTTGATGAACCTAAGCTGCTGATCTAGCAGGGGTCAGAGAGGTGTTGGAGTACCTTCCCCTTGCCTCTCCAGGGCAGCCTTTACTCTTCTCTGTGCCCTGGTTGC